GTCGGATTTCAAATTTTCCCGGGGCGTACGATAATTTTCTGCCGCGTACGATAATTTTGCGCCCATACAGTTTGATTTACGATTGTGTCCATCAAACGAACTAAAGTCTCTGGGATCACTGAGTATCGCTTTCGTTTCATAGCCTCCTACTGTTCCGTTACGCAGCGGCATACCGCTTCATTTTTTACAATTACCATTACATTTTTCCAAATTACACCCATTCTAAAGAAGTTTTCACTTAAAAAATTTTCATATAAATATATTTTTCTGATTTTTCAGATGACTGTCTTCAATTTGGTGGCGTACCTAAGACAGAAAATAGTATAATATTGTGCAACATTGCTTTGAGGGTCAAACAACCATGACCCACCTTACCAACTTTCCAAGAATACCCACCCTACGGACTTTTCAGAAATACTCTACCATACGAACTTTTTAGAAATACTCCTATCCTACAAACTTTTCAGAAGTACTATACAGAAATACAGTTCGGAGGGTTTGTATTTCTGAAATGTTCGTAGAGTAGGGTATTTCTAAAAAGTTCGTATGGTAGAGTATTTCTGAAAAGTTCGTGGGGTAGTAAAAAACAAACCTATATTAAACTGATTGATAAATTGATTYATTCCACAGGGGAGGTAAATAATTTGACTACAAGTGTCTACTCATTATTATCAAGATTGATAAGAAGAATCCAACAATACTGCAACTATGAAAGATTTTTAAATGAACTGTTCTTATTATACTTACATTGGGAAGAAATCATATGCAGTTATGTTCTATTAAAAGAATACCAAAATAAATGTATCCTAGTTATCACAAATTAAGAAAACAAATGGCACATTCATTATATTAGGAAATTCTATTCATGTCAAAATCTTTTATCAAGTTTTATACACAGTAATAGAAGATATTATTTTTTCATTGGCTGACAAGAAAAATTTATGTATTTGTTAATTAATACTTTTTTTGCAGAGATTCAATGTGAATTATTATGCAAATAGAATGCAGCTGCAGTGTCAAGAAATAATGAAAATCATAAATTGTAAAAAGGTAAATCTAATAAACTGGTATTTATAGAAAACGAATATTATATCACTCTTAAGAAATATTTTTTCATATCATAGCATTAATGTACTGATTTTTTCAACAGAGATGATAAATCGTTTGACTAGAAGACACAACGCATTACTTTTAACAACTATAAGAAGAATCTAACAATAATGCAACAATGAAATATTTTTGAAGACACTACCCTGATTATACTTACAGTTGGAAAAAACCATACTCAGTTCTATTTCATCAATTAAATTTCAGAAGGAATGTATCCTAGTTATCACAAATTGAGAAAACAAATAGCAAATACATTCTAATGTGCAGTTCTTAATATGTAATAAATTTATTAATGTACTTCTTACTGGGAATTTGAAAACATTACTGGGAATCGACTAATACCAAAAAAATGTATATATTTATAAGAACTCATGTGTTTTTTGTAGAAATACCAACATGTATTTTCTTATGCAAATAGGATGCAACTATAGTGAGAAGAAACAAAATTCTAGACAATAATATGTTAAGAGGTAAAAATAATAATCTTGTTTGAAGAAGAAGAAGTAAATATTATAATATTGTTTAAAATACATTTATTATTATCATATAAAAAATGAATTATATTACATTAATTTTTTATAAGTTAACATAAATTTATTGGAAAATTTGTAATTTATTACCGACAGGTAGAATATGTGGCGCCATCTAGACGAAAGATAACACATCGGTAGGAGAAAATCAAGATGGCTACCTGTCAATGTACTTTGAATACCGGAAAACAGTCCACCACGTGCAGTGTAAAGTAATTAATTAAAGAAATTGTTAGTGATGCAATAATTAAGTGAATAATATTTTGTATTTGTATTAATTCAGTTCATATTCTTTTTTTAGTGATCGGCAATTCAGCTTAAGAAGAAAACCATTGCACTTGATGTTTGGTCAGTTTAAGAAGAAAACCATTGGACTTGATGTTTGATCAGCTTAAGAAGAAAACCATTAGACTTGATGTTTGATCAGCTTAAGAAGAAAACCATTGGACTTGTGGTTGTGATATAAAAAAGAATATCATTGTACTCTACAGGTTATGTCGACTTAAAAAGAATACCATTGCACTTTAAAGGTTATGTCGACGTAAAAAGTATACCATTGCACTTTAAAGGTTATGTCGACGTAAAAGTATACCATTGCACTTGAGGTTACTTCAGATTAAGACGTTCCGTGTCAAACTTTTTTTTACCTATCCTATCATCCAAGCTATTTAATTTTGCTTTAATGAAATCAACCATTACATNGTACCTCAGGCCATGTTTAACAATAGAACGTTGAAACATTTCAATAACAGAAGATGGTTCCATGTTCTCAGATGCTCCAGTGTGATTAGCGTTACATTCATTTGATTCAATGTGTTGTTCYTTCCACTCTTCATACTCTGCAGTATCTAATTTGTTTTTCCACGACTCACATAATTTACAGTAAGAACTTTTAATAATTACATCCAAGATTTTTCCCGAATAAAATCCGATTAATGAACTCACACCATATAGTGATGCGAAACCATGCTTCTTCCACGTTCCATCACCAGAAACACTCACATCTATCGTATCTTCACCGTCATTTTCATCAYTCGTTAATTGTCTTTCTTCTTTTGCAGCAGTGGAGAGTAGTGTCTCAGTGATTATCATGMTGCAGTTCCGTATTTTATCTATATAAAAATCGTATGTTGATTGATTCAAAAAGGAGCAGCTTATATCCATCAAATCGCAAATTTCTTGCATCCGGCAAGCCCTAAACCCAATAATTTCATGACAAAAATAAACCGCCTATTTAGTTATACATTCTGCCAATTTTTTGACAAGATAAAATATATTTCGGCTCACATCGTTCACATGCTACCTCAATTTTAAATCCCAGACCGAATTTCGAACATTGTTTAAAAGTTATTTTTCCATTACACAATTTCTCTTCACCTTCACTTTCAATAATGTTTGAACACCGCACAAAACACGATAGTGTTGAAAAAACAAGATGAAAAT